AGTATATACTAATTTTTAAACTGGTGTTCCGAAGTGTTTAACGACGTGCTTCCGGACACACCAGGAGGGCATTCCGATGCTTAAGTCAATAGGTGTTTGATAAGATCTTAGAAAGAGTGAGGGAGCTCTAGAAATTTAGTGTGCGTACCTTTCTAGGTGGATTTGGATGCTTTATATAGGTCCCTGGACTTAGGAGGCTCAGGATAACAGTCTTGAGCTCTTTGTGGAGCTGTTTCCCTATTTTCAGGTGCATTAAGGTGTTAGTTGAGATATCTTCATGCCAGGCTGCGAGCAACACGACCCCATTTACACCTCTATCTACACCAAGTTGAAGATAAATCACCGGACCACGACCATTCATCGACCACAAAGCAAAAGACAGATTAAAGTGATCAATCAAACCCTACTACATAACCTGAAGACCAGACTTGACAAGGCCAAGGGAAGGTGAGTTGAAGAACTGTTGATCATTCTCTATGCGTACAGGACCACACCACTGACAGCTACCAGCTAGAGACCTTTAGCCTAGCATACGGGGCCGAAGCCATGATCCCTGTAGAAATAGGCTCCCCAACTCTCCGGGCTGAGTTTTGCGATGACGATCAGAACAATGAGGACCTTCGCACAGAGCTCGACTTAGTGGAAGAAGCACGTGCCCGAGCATACCTCAGAATGGCAGTGCAATATCACCAGATGGCTTAGTACTACGACTCCAAAGTCTGAAGAAGAGAGTTCAAGACAGGTGACTTTGTCCTTCGCAAAGTCATAGTACCTGCGCCAGGAGAAGGAAAGCTCGGACCAAATTGGGAGGGACCATATAGAGTGACTAGAGTCCTCAGACCTAGTAGCTATAGGTTGGAAGACCTCGTCGGGAAGTCCATACCAAGGAGTTGGAACACTGAAAACTTGAGAATGTACTACTAGTAGTTCAGATTGTACAACACACACACCCAGCTGAACTCTAATGGTTGAGAAGCCTCCTATGTACTGGGTCTTCGACTCTATAGAGATAGATCGAAGCAGATAATAAGATTATCCCAATTTGCTTACATTGACAAAATAGTCAAGAGATACAGCATGGAGAACTCCAAGAAGGGAAATGTTCCTTTCAAGCACGAAGTCACTCTCTCCAAGGGGATGTCTCCCAAGACTCCCGAGGAGATTGAGGGCATGAAGAACGTTCCCTATGCCTCAGTCGTAGGAAGCATCATGTATGCCATGTTGTGCACTCATCCTGACATTGCTCCGGCAGTGAGTGTGGTAAGTAGATTCCAGGCCAATCCAGGGCAAGAGCACTGGACTGCTGTGAAAAACATACTTAAGTAACTTCGAAGGACAAAAGAGTTTTGTCTGGTATTCGATGGTAGCTCACTACAAATCCAAGGGTATACTGATGCCGACTTCTAGTCAGATCCAGATGATAGAATGTCTACATTTGGTTATATCTTCACGATAGGATCGTGTGCCATTTGCTGAAGGTCAGCAAAAAGGGGTCCTGAGTAGTAAGAATAACAGCCCACAACCCAAGCCGAACACATTGCCGTAAGTGAGGCTGCCTTATGAATGAAGGTGTTCATTCTGGAATTTGGAATTCTGCACATCATCCACTCCACTGTTGTGTGACAACACTGGATCTATGGGAGATTGATGTTAAAAAGGTAGTATCAGCGGAGAATGTGGCAGACCCATGGACTAAGCCACTGACACAGAAAGTGTTTGAGAAACACGTTGAAAGTCTGGGACTCCGGCTTGTACCAGATTGAACCTAAGTGCAAGTGGGAGCTGTTAGACAGTGTATGCCCTTAGCTCCAATCAAAATGATGTACCTTATGACATTTATTGTAAATGAATAAAGTACATATTTGATTCATGTTATTATGGTATGTTTCTATGTAATACCCTTAAATTAGACACATATGAGACTCGTGTTAGTTTAGAATGTTCACAGCCGTTGGATAAGTCTGGGGAGATTTGTCCTGCCAAGGCTGACACTGATGTGCCGCTAAGTGTTGGGGTAGCCTGTCTCAGTTGCCAGGGTGAGACCCGGGGTACATGCAGTGTAGGTTTACTTGAAACCCTGAACTGGACCAGAATTCCAGTATTGCCCTGGACCTTGGTGATTAGTGGGCAAGACTGGAATGTTACACCTGACCCCTAGACTTGATTATGATACTGCACTAGGTGTCAGATTGGGTTGTCTTTGATATGCCAATCAGTGAGATCC